CCCAGATCAGCCCCACTTTAAAGTCCATGGTCTTTTCACTGCTCTTTGCTGATTTCCTGTAAATATACTATAAAAAATGGATAATTGATATTTAATGATATATAAAGCAGAAATCTTGGAATATTTACTTTGTAAAGTTTGTTTTCCTTTCAATCTAGCCTGATAATGTTGAGAAATGTACAGCAATGATGTTTTCCAGGAATGTTATTTAAATAACAGTGTCAGTGGAATCCATAAGAACCATCACTATCTAGCTACTACCTAGAAAAAGAAAACAGAAATCAGTACTTCAGAGCTGTATTGGCTTAAAATGAGTTTTATTTTAATGACTATGTTTTAGAGCATGGCTATACTTAGAAGTATTCTTCTGATCGTTTCAACATTATCTTTTGTGCCACTAAGGCTTCAATTCGTTGTGCTTCAGATAGGGTAAAATAGTCATAAAGTGCAACTTTTACAAATGACTTGAAGTATTTTATGAATAAAATTGATCTGAGGTGGTTGATTAATTTTTTTGTCATCACTTTCTATTTAATCTGTAAATGATAACCAAGTAAGCTGGCCATGTATTCTTTTGTAATTTAGTTGAAAGGTACTTCAGGCTGGTGAAAATATGATATAGAATCATTGGTAATAACTATATACATATAGAGAAAATTAGTTTCGACAAATGAATGAGAAATGTATGCCAGTTATCCAGTCTACAATGTTTATAAGAATTAGAGCTTGTGTCTTCATTGTAAAACAGATTGTCACTTTAGGTTAATTCAGTAAATGGCAGTTCATATTGGATTGCCTGGTCTATCTGTTGCAGATTTAACTTTCAGAGATGAAGTCAAACTGTGTAGGGAAGAATAAAGTTCATAAAATATAAAACTTGTCTCCTAATCTAAGCTAATTGAAGTTCACAGAAAGACCCACTTTCTTGCCAAGTCCTTATCACATACTCTCTCAGCATGGTGCCTAGTGTCTGTAGTGGAAATAGTAACAGTGCTTCTGTTACTAGTTGGGTGGTGCATCACAGTTTTACCAAGCACTGCTACATAAGTGTCATGTTGATTTTGCACTGAGGGCAACGTGGACATGTGTTGTTGACTATCGCCCTGTCATCTAGGCAGAGTACTTTCAAAGCAGAGGGCTCAAATGGCTAGGGGGATTTTAACTATTTTTAGAAGTATAGGAGAAAAAGTCTTAGAAAAATTGGGGTAGTTTTTAAAGAAGTCGCTGTAAGCATCTGAATTAACCTAATTATGGTGTTGAACCCCCTCATGAGAAAGAGAATCTGTCATCTTCCTAGTAGTCCAGAATTTGCTTAACACTCAGAAAGTATGAGTTTGACTTTCCTGTGTGAAAAAGGCTCAATGATCTTCAATAGCTGTATCTTGTTTATCCTAATGTCCCTTAAGTTCATGTTTTGTAAGTAGACATCTTCTTTTCATGTGTAATTATTTCAGAGTTTCAGGTGTTAAGATTCTTGAAAGTATGGCTGTATTTCATATATAACCTATTTATGTCAATTATTTTGTAAAACTTTAAAACTGTAATTTGGATTCTTGAACAGTTTGAAACAAGCAATTCTAGAAAAATATTCAAATAATAATCTGTTAATGTAAAAACAATTATCCAAGCATTGCTACAGAATAATATATGTGCTTCAAATAGCATAAAAGTATTTGCATCTAGAAAATATACTTTAAACTGTCTCTCCTCATAAATTTGTATCTCTGACTTTTATATTTATCTGCTAGAAGTATTGATTTTATTTGTGTTTTAATGAAAAAAATCATAATAAAAGTTGGGGATTTCATTTTAGGTGAGGATTTGGGGTTTGGGTTTGTTTTTATACAGTAGAGTTTAATCCATGTGTTGCTTTTCTTCAAGTGTAGTTTAAAGGAGTACATTTGGAACGTGTTTTTGGAAAAAGCATATTAATGTAGCAGAAGAGACTTCAGTGCACACTTTCGAAGAAAAACAGTTTCTGAGCATTAAGTGGTAAAAGGCAATAATAATTCAAATGATGGTAACAAGCCAATCTGCTAAAAAGAATGCATGTTCTGTGTATCCAGCCATTTCACATGAACTAACCTCGTTTAAAAGAATACATTTCCATTCACTGTGCACATACGTGTAATCATTTTTGACTAAAATCAATTGCCATTATCATGCCAACTAAATCTGCAGTAGACTGTATTAGTTGCCAGATACTGGACAAAATATTGTTTAAAAATAATGAGGATTGAATCCCAGAAATGAATAGATGCAATCTGTAAACATTAGTTATAATGCCAAGAAACACTCCAGAGAGTAATGTTAATTTTTATGTGTAGTATCTCTAAATTGCTGTGATAAAGCTTATATTATGGTAGCAAAAAAGTGGCACTGTATGCTAACATGCGTTGAAAGTTAGAGATGAGCCTAATTGTTTTTCTTACTTTCCTGAACATGATAGGACCGAATCGTTGCAAAACAAACCCGTGCCTTAATGGAGGTACCTGCTATTCTACGGAAACTTCCTACGTATGTACCTGTGTGCCAGGATACAGCGGCGACCAGTGTGAAATTGGTAAGATATCCTTGCCTGAAAGAATGGAGTGCTTTCCAAAAGACATATCGGGGGAGAATTTATAGTGCTTGAATCAATCAGAGGATTTCAGAGAAATCCATGTGTAGATGAATTATATGTTCAGAAGTTAACATCATAGAGTAACTGAAGTAGATTCTGGGAAATGGGGACAGATGGTTATTGAATTTTGTCAGTATACGCAAGGCTCATGAAGCTTACTGAGGTCAACTATATATCTTTCTGTGGTTTTTACAGATAGGCTCTACAAATGTGAAGTTGCATAAATATTAACAAAACAATTCAATCCACCTCCCCCAAAAAAACCCTGTGTATCAATAAATAATCAATTTAAATACAAAAATAAATTTTAGAAAGTTAAAGTTTAAAACTAAGGAATTTAACTTTTAGCTTTCATGCTTCGAGATAACTTGTTCCTCTGTCTATAACTTCCTCCTCTGTCCTCAGTAGGCAATCTAAACTACCTCCACCTCAAGGAGGTGTGAGATTATTGTTCTCCTCCTCTCTTTTGGGCTCCAATGAATATAATTTTTTATTACAGTTTATTGGGGGTGATAATAGTTAGTAAAGTTACATAGGTTTCAGGTGTACAATTCTGTAATACATCATCTATATGTCACATTGTGTGCTCACCACTCAGAGTCTTTACTAAATCAATTCCTTTCACTACCATTCTCATTTAGGTTTCCTTTTCTTAATATATAAAGACCCCCCCTCAATTTTTTATTTGGCTAAATATAGACCTTGCCTCTGATGAAAGAAGTGATGGAATGTAATATTGATCAGGTGCTCTCCTTTTAGAGGTATCATGATGATTTTCTCATAATGATTAAGTAAAAAGGCCCACTGAAATATTGGGATAAAACCCCAACATTCATATTAAAAGAACACTTGTCTTAAAAAAAAAAAGCCAACAGTTAGTGTGCTCTATCTGTGTGCTAGTTCATGGAGATATAGATATAGCAGCAGATAACATTCATTTAAGGAATAGTTACATATTAAATATATATGTAATTATAAAGAGTAATATATATATATATATATATATATATAGGTATAGATCTATCTATATCTATATCTATATATATAGTTGGCTCTCATTTCTTTTACATTAAAATCCATTAAAAATAACTTAATAAGCTAATATGTGAACTTCTTAGAAAGTGGCTGGCACTTAGCAAGCACTATAAAAGTGTTTGGTATCTTTTTTATATAGTATCATCATTTCTAAGACCAATTCTTTAGATAATAATCATTATGTACCCCCTGGAAATTCAATTTACTTTGTATACTCATTTTTAAATATGTTTTTATTTAATATAAACATTAATTAAAGTTTTAATGGAACTGCAGAATGCTATGGGAATAAAGTCGTTAATTTCATCAGAGGAGATCATAGAAATCTGTGTAGAAAGGTTGCATTTGGTACAGATCTGAAAGGTGGGGAGGATTTTGATAGGAGGTGGTAGGAGACTCAGACACAGCTAACAAGAGCACAGAGACCACAAACAGCAGAATGCATCTGGGTGACTGCAAGTGTTCAGGTTTGCCTACTTATGGGTTTGTGGGAGAGAGATATATTGGGACACAATACTAGAAAGCAGGTTGGAGCTAGGCAGGTCTGAAGAGGTCCTGAATGCATGTACTAAATAGCTGTACTTCATACTCTAGTTGAGTGATTCTGAGACTTTAGTATGTTTTGGAATCACCTGGAGGGCCTGTAAAGCACAGCTTATTGTTACCCCACCCCCAGTATCTGATTCAGTAGATCGGGGGGTGGGACTAGGAATGTGCATTTCTGACATTCTCAGGTGATGCTGATATTGCTGGTCCAGGGACCACACTTTGAGGACAGCTGCCCTGGGCAACCAGGATCTCTGGAATGTTTGCAAGCCAATGAGTAAAGTGATCCTGTCTGTGTCTAAAGATGACAATCAGCAGAGTGAAGGATATGTTGGAGAGCGTCTTATTTTTCATAGCCAATCAGCCCAGGGATAGGGAGGCCAGTTAGTTATTTTCAGTATTCCACTCATGAGGTAATCAGAGCATGGACCAGGA